TGCGTGCCTAGCCTTGAAGGGCCTGAACTTAGAGAAGGGATTTGGAGCCCATGCTTAATAAATTAATCCCATGATTTACAATAAGAAGATTTCAAACACTCCTGCTAGACTTTTTGGAAAAAATTCCTTATCATACATTAGCATAAATTACAAATATGTTCTGTGCTATGTGACTTATATTTATGCATTGCGCTGGGCTCTGGGCAGTAACTTATGCATGTCATATACCCTTCTGCCATGTGCATTTTAAGCTGCATGTGCAAGATAACCTGGTTATCTCAAAAGCTGGTATGGTTTGGACTTGTCAGTAAAGTTAAGAGCCATTTGTAATCATAAGGAAAATTAAGATACAGCATATTTTTGAATTCAATATAGCAAATGAGTACTAACAATCACACTACATTTTGTTATCACTTAGATTTTTTCCACGCTACCTGAAGAACTTTTTGGATATTAAATTTGCTATCATGATTGATTTTAATGCATCAGTATATTTTCCTTCCTCTTCCAAATTACACTTGCTGAAGAAACAGAAATGTCCTCAACAAGGAAAAAAACATGTACTCAAAGTGAAAAGATATGTACTTTCAGTTTTGAAGGTGCAGTGAATTAGTATTTTAAATTTACTAATACAAAAAATATTTCTGATTATTTTCGGGTTGAACATATTCAATGGGTTTCCAGTGAGATAGCTGTATTTATGAAGTATAGCAGGTCACTGAGTGGACATCATTACTACATTGTCTGAGGTCCCAAGAATGTTGAATCAGACTTGATTACTGTGCCCAGTCCTGCAAGGTACTAAAAAATTTCATCTTTCATTTCAGTAGTAGCCAGGAATCTTTTACATCCCTTAGGAATAAGCACATAAAAGAGCCTGCTCTAAATTAGCTGAGAAAGAGCTTCATGAGAAATATAACATTTGTTTTTAATGAGAAAAGTTCTTTCCAACAGGATAGCTACACCAACAGAACATTTGACCCACTGATTTCAGAATTTCCTTCCATTTCTGAGAGATCTCCCATACAGAGATAGACTAACTTGTTGTATGTACACTGTCCAGTTTTGTTTCTGAAGTTTTTGTTCTGAGTCACTGTACAGTCTTTCATCCCAAGTATAATATCCACAAGTATACTATACACAAACAACCAATGTAACTTTATTATACACACATTCATTGAAATATGAATCAATGAAGCAAAGAGAATTGTTGATCATAATCTGCAAGTGATCCACTAAACAAGAGATCTGTTATCATAAATTTCTTAGTAGAACACTAGTCATTCTATAAAGGGAAAATCCATTACACTACACATTAATACTGCAAAGGCATTCATGTTTTCTCTTTTCCCCATTTTCACTTCTCTCCAGTTGAAAAATGTTTTTCTTTTAGGAGTTTGTTCACGTACTTGATCATCAGGGGTTACCTGAACTTCAGACCCCGTGTGAGCATCTCTGCCTCCTCTATCCTACACCAGAGATAGTTTCAACAACTGACTTTGCTGAAATAGTGCTGATCAGCATGGGCTCCCTCTCAGCTTCTGGGTCTACCCAGTACCAGTGTTGGATGGAATAATCGAAGTAAATTGCACTTGCCGAAAAAGTTGTTGCTGTTGCTAGAGGAGAATTTTTTGCATCAGTGTAAGTAAGCCAAATACTTTTGTGAAAAAGTTCACAAGGTTCAGTGGAGCTGGACTTTATTACAGCAAAAGATGATAAATGTCACAGGAGAGAATAATGACCTTTCATTTATCCCTTCCACAAACAAGACTTCTGAAATTCTTTGAGCATTTGCATTGTTTGAAGCACATTTTTCAAATGAAAACTGGTTTTTGTGCTTTGCAGATATTTTTAAGATCTAAACCTCCATAAATTTTGGCATCTTGAGCAGTCAGCATTTCAGCAGTTATGTTCTGAGCCACTAAAAGCAGCCTTTAGTACAGGTATTACAGGTGTTAGGCACAATGCCTTAGTTCATTCTGTTTCACAACTAAACTCATTTTTGAGATACATTGACATTTTCTACCTTAAAAAATGTACCTAAAAAAAACCCAAACCCAAAGCAAAACACAGTGTAAATTTTTTAATTCCACGGTCTTGAGTTTGTTTAGTACATTCAAACTATAGTTTCTTCTGTTTCTTTCTTAATATTTCTTAAGTTTCTTCAGCAAATCAAGAATGTCTGTTCACCCAAGGAACAAAAATTACGAGGTCACTGATGCTCTGTTTGCTTGTCATTGGTTGTTGTTACTTTCAACTCAGTTATCAGAGAGTTATTCAATATGAGAGGGTAAATTAAATGTCAAGTCTGACTCACACAAAGTATACACGCTGTCTATTTTACTGCCCTGCTAGTTCACACAAGGTGAAGAATATATCCTAGCTGTGGGGGAAAAAAAAAAAAAGAGGATTACTCCTGCAGCACTCATTCATACAGTCTGCAAATCTGCCATCTGCCACGAATAAAAGGTGGGATGAGCTGCAGCATTTCACAAGCAGAGTAGGAAAAACTGCATTGTAATCTAATCATTGTAATCACTGTAATTACCCAGCTCTGTAGCAGCACCAGGGAAGTGGTCAATAAGTTCCTCTAGCTGTCAAAGAACACAGGGTACTCACTGACAGGAGGGAAGGGCAGAACAAGTTGTGCCACCCGCTTTGCCTCCTGCTCCAGGCTCTACCTGCCTGACACTGCTACTGGGAACTCACGGCTCAGAGACCAAATGTTCCCTAATGCAAGACCCACAGCTCCCACGGATGCAGGCTGCTCTGCTCCGGTAGCCAAGACACAAACGAGAATGAGTTTGTTATGGATCCGGAGGTAATTGCCAACATTCAGCTGCTATCCCCTGAATTTCTGTTACCATATAATGTGCAATTTCCCTTCACAGTGACATCCTGGTTCAGATAATTTCAGAAGCATTTTGTTTGCTGGAGTACTTATGTGTAGTATACATCTTTACTCAATCAGAAGACAGCTAATTTCTTTGCTGTGCTAATTACGCCAGAGAAAAACACAACATGTTTACGCTTGTTCTTGTCAGCCAGTTTGAGAAAGTGGTTCCCTTTGAGTGACTCTATCACCTAGTTTCTGATGTTTTGCTGTGGACTACTTAATGAACAGTTCCTAAATTTCTCTGAAGTTGTGCATGTGGTTGCTTGCAGGCAGTGCAAGTATAGTCCACACAGGGGCAGGGTATTGTTCACAACAGCCTGTACATATCCAAACTGCTAAGTAAGCTATAATAGTATCAGTGGCTGATATCTATTCATACTCCACATGCCTGTGGTTACATGTGTTGACTTGCAGCCTGAGTCACATAATGACGGGTTACATCTGCGGTACATCATATAAACATGGCACAACAGGAATGGGAAGGGGAGAGAGAGAGAGAGAGAGAGGGAGAGGAACACATCCAAATTAATTTTATGGAAGACACTATATGATATAGTTGCTCATCATAGCTGAGGAGTGGTCTTGACCCAGGAGGTCCTCTTAGTTGTGTAATATTAAGACTGAAAATGAAGGTGGCCTTGGAACAATGGATTTGCCTTTTACGATTGGAGTGGTGAATTCAAAAATTGGGTCGGCAATCAGCACAGACACATTAAAATATCAGAAATTTCAAAACCCTGAGTAAAGATAAAAGCCTCTACTGGCATCAGGGCAGTCTGACCACTCTCCCAGCCCTTGCTTTTGGTCCTGCTCTGGCATTCTCTGACGCTGCCTCATAATGTCAGAGTTGACATTAAAAACTCATTTTTATCACTTAACAGGATAGAATTAACAGGGGAGAAATACAATCCCATTGCTAACTGCATGGCTGAATATTCTTCATCTCAGAGGCCAAGTTTCTTTTCTCCCCATCAAGCCCTAGTTAAGCAGAGACACTCCAGCAGGGTCCTGTGTGGAGATGGGAGCATCGCTCAGCAGGAGAGTTTTACTATGAAAACTGCAACGTCTATGTATCAGAAGGGAGAGCCTGGATGAATCTGCAGGGGCAACAACTTCAGAGCACAGGCAGCAAAAGGGAAACGATACAGCTCTCTGCCCTGGACAGGTCTGGTGGGGGAGGGAGTGCGGCTTGGTTTTGCTTTTTACGAGAGAGAGGTAAAGGTAGTAACATCAGATACATAGGAAAAGCAGATAACCCAGGAATTTCGAGAGTTAAATTGTCTTCAAAACTAGTTCTCCCACTGAGATGAAAGATGCAGCTTGTGCATGTGGCCCATCTGTAACCTCAGAGGTGCAGCTGCACACTCAGGTTTCCCCTCCACCAGGGATTTTTTTATCTACACCTTCCCAAGCTCAGTATAACTTTAAATGAACATAGTTGAATATGTAAGGATTGTCTACATGATGTGTATTTAATAATACAGCCCTATTTCCTCCACAAGTCACATTTCTACTAGACATTTTGTACTTCTGCTTCTATCAAAAACTTTTCTCAAACATTTTGTATGCAGGGACTAAAGAGTAACCTTGAGAGAAAGTGGCAGACGTGCATGAGATTTGAAGCACCCAAAGGCTTTCTAAACAGTGTATGAATCTGAGGGGATACATCTGCTTTCCTGAAGATGTGGGGCAATGTCCCTGTGTTTCACAGGCTATAAACCAGAAGCCTATCTCAGCAAAATAATTTGAGGTATTGATAAGTAGATGCTGTAACCAAGGTATCTTGTTCCCATTTCGGGGAAAAAAGCAACAAAATAAAAAAAAAATATCAGTAAAAGCTATTGAAACACGTATGTTTACAAGTAGGATTTCTGTGTATGTTCTCATTCTATTATCTACATAAAGCCGCCTTTTATGCTGTCTGCTGACAGCATTTGATGCATTTTTCCTCCTGTGCTTATTTTTAGTTGCCATAGGAACTTTCTTATTTCCTGTCAGCTGATGTCATTATTTAATACTATTAATTGTATAAAAGGGTGTTGATTCTGGTACTCCAGATGCTGAAAAAAAGCTTTAGGAATGCAGAACACATATTTCAGTTTACTCACTCTTTTATTCATTTAATTCTATCAATATTTATTTCAAAAAGCCAGATACTGTAATAAAAGCTGTTACCACATCAGTGGAATCCGAACTAGAGCCTCTCCAGTCTTTTCTTCTTGTTTGATCTAAGTTTCCCTCCCACTACCATAAATATACTTATTTGAAATAGTATCTTTTGTCTGTTTATTTTGTAGCTTCATTCTTCCTCACTCATCACATATCCTATTCTTTTTCCTTTAAAAAAAAAAAAATAAAATCTGCTGTTAAAATGAATGGGAGTGAAAAGAAAATTTTCCAGCATATGAAGAAATACAGTCTGGAAAAATATTTGGATCCAAGGAGGGTTTCTTTCTGGCAAAACCTAATTCTTCTTCTCTTACATATAATAAGTTATTTTGTAAAGGATTATTTTTCTATTAAATTTGTTGTTTGACCAGAAAGCAATAAAGAATTACCAGAATTGACTGAGAACTACATTAGCTTAAACTGGATCTTTCTTTATCCATATCAACTATAACATTTCCACATTTTTTCCCATGAACTGACCACATATTTGGAGAAAAAAATCTGATCAACATATAAATTTGCATTTGAATTAGTATTATACAGAAAGGTGGTGCAAACTTATTCCAGTCCTTCTCTGGAAAAATAGGAAAATAGCAGTAATGTACACAAATTGAAATCCTCCTATAAAAACATATTCCTTTTTCCATTTCACATCACTGCTCTTCATAAGGTGGAGGAAGACAGGTAGCTTGGAACAAAGAAACTGTCAAATATGCTAACATTGATAACTTTAGAAAATAATTCCACTGGTGTGACTTAAATTATGCAAACTTCATCTAAGGTTTTATTCAAAGCATTCTAAAGACAACTTGAATCTCCTCGCTGAACTCGGGGGCTGCTGGATTAGTCCCACTGAATGGGATAACAGGAGTATTAATGAGCTCGCTGGGGTGCTAGGAGGATAATATTCTGCTTGGGAATGTTCCCAAAGCATATGGTGTGTGCTCTTGCTGAGACAAGCATTGTCAAGTGTTTTAGTTGCTATAACTCAATAGGCATCTGAGGCAAATGATGCTCAACCCGATCCTGGAAGCTCCTCCACAGAGCGTCCCTTCTGCAGAAATCCTTCTCAGCCACCCCAGCCCAGCCCCACCATCAGCAGAACCCTCATCGCCCAACTTGGTTCAATGGAGGGGATTCACACTAAGACATGCTGTCCTGCAAACAGCAACACTGATTTTGTATAGGCCTTGCTAAATTAAGGAATAATATTTGTTCAACAACACAAGCTTTTATTATTTTAGCAAAAGTAAAATATATTAAACATCTGTCTTTTAATCTGAACAGGAAGAACTGAAGGTTTTAGGAACTGGAAATTTTTTCTTTTTCCCAGTTTGTTCTTGTAGAAACAGTTTAAAAAAGCAACTTATTTGTAAAAGAAAGTGTACATACACATGGAAGGAGGTTTTGTTTATTAGAGAGAGACAATTATTCTGATTACTTCTGAGGACTGTCTGGGAGAATCAAAGACTTTGAATATTATTTTATATATCCAGAAAACAAAATTTAAAAACAACTGCAGAAAAAAAAAATTAACTAGAATTTGTCCATAATGTCTTTTCCCAAAATGAGTCTCCTAGTTAAACCAGGAGTCAAACAGTTACCATTTTATAAAATAAGTTAGTTACCATTTTATAAAATAAGATATTGCCCCCAACAATTGGTAGTTTTTTCTTTCTTTTCAGGAATACGCTACCAGTCTGATCTGTATTAAAAATATGAGAGATTTAATATGTAAGTGCAGCCAACTCAAGTTGAAAAATAACTCCCAGTTAAATGTTACTAATATGCAGAGGCATTAAATTTGAAGGAAACTGCAAAGGTATCCAGTTTCCCTGGAAAAACTATGGCACAATATCCAAAAAGAAGCAGCTCAGATGGGCAAATCACCTGCAAATCAACTACAACTGAAACGGATGCTGAGTTTCCAACCCCCTTCCATAAGACCGATAGGGTCGGCCAAAACAGAGAAGAGCTGTGAGGCTGTGGGACCCAGGGGCTGGCTGGGGGGGGAAGGCTGGGTGACCCCGCTAGGTCTGGAGGCTCCCCAGGCCACCAGAGAGAGCCGTGGGACAGGATCACCTGCACTGGGGGTGCCCATCCCAGCCACATCCTTCTGGGAAGGAAAGAAAGCAAGCAGGACAAGGTCAGTTCACTATGTGACAGCAGTGGGAGAAAGGTCAGCAAGAGAGCAAGCCCAAAACACCCCATGAAGTCAAAGGCCGTAAAGACCAAAATCACTTGCAGAAACAAAACTGAAGTACTGCTCTTCCTCCTTTTCACCTCACTGCCGTGGACATGGGAAAGGATTGAGTCATTATCTGCCTTGCCAAGGGGCTCACGCTGGGCTTCTCCACTGAGCAGCAACTCTGTAAGATTCAACAAAGGAAGAAGCAAGTTATGAGAACCACACCACTAAGACACTAATAACATTACGGGGACATCTGAGGATACTGTTGAACTTACCAGAGTATGAGAATCAACATCATCCTCTCTAAGTTATACAAATAAAAGAAGGTTATTTAGTGTCCATCTGGTTTTATTCAAGAGGTAGTAAATAATTATTCATCAAATGTACACCAAAGGCTTTTGATTGCTCTTAGCTGCCAGACAACAGGACTTTTCTTATCCTACAACTGTCACCTTCCATGTCATCTGAGACAAAAATGAGGCATTTCCACTTTTCATACCTCTTTCAGGAAGGCAATGTGATTGCTTGTTTATAGAACATGGGTATTAGTACAGCTCAGGGAATAAAAAAATTAATAGGCACTATCCAGCAGAGGGAGCACAATAACATAAAAACCCTTCAGCTGTAAGGTGAAGAACTTTTTTCTATTAAAATCCACAATATTTGGCAATCTGAGTTTACTGTTTTAGCATATGGGGTGGAAAAGACAGAATTTAAATAAAAATTGAGATAGGAGAGAGGGATCTCAAACAAATACAAGTAACAAAATAATTGATTCCCTGTTATTTTCATCCATAATTAGGCAGATGTAACTTAACTGCTGGAAGAATTAAGGTTTAATAAGAAGAGATCAAGGATGATCTTAGGAAGAGTAATAACATTTATTTTACAATGCTGATTTTAATTTAAATAGAACTGGCTGCTCTGGCTGAAAGACTCAAGTGCTGCTTTCAGTTTGACTGTGCACTTCCTCTTGTTGTTAATGAAGTCATACATCACAGAAATAACTGATTCACCCATTCATTCAGCTTATGTGTAATTTTTAGAGTCCAATATGACAGAAGTCTTACTAGATATGTTCTCTCTTCTGTGACTGTTACACTTTCTAATCTAATCATGCTCAAATAATTGTGAATTAAAAAAAAAAAAAAAAAAAAGCGCTAATACCTATAAGAAACAGTCATAAACCAGAGAAAGAATTTGTCACATTTTGATGTGACTTACATGAACTACGGTAATTAAAGAAACAATTTAATAGTTTAAAATTGTTGCCATCTTAAATGCAAACCTTTCTTAGGGTGCATTTCATTAATATATTTATGCCACGAGATTTTTTAATTAGGACATCTAAATTCTAAGCTCTGCCACTGACTCTTATTTGACCTTTGGCAATTCACAGTCTTTCTAAGAGAGTTTCTGTTATCTTTGTAATGAAAATCATATTGATTTCACAGCTGGGTAGAGTGTAACAGCAGCTTTGCCTGCTGGTAGAAAGTACCATTGAAATAAAAACATAATTTTGAAAGGAAAAAGAGAAGAAAGAACTGAATGTTCTGATCAAAAATGCTAACTACAGCTAACTCGAGGTAGAATATATTTGGTTTAACTCTTAGATGATTTTCAAAGAAAAACTCAAGCATGATGAAGACTGACGAGTATTTTTTTCTGTTAAGCAAACTGAATTTCTTCTCCACAAACTGGCAGTAAGATTAACAAGTCAAACAAAACATCTATACTGCTAAATATTGAAGATTCCCCCATTCAGCAGACTGTTCACTCTGTTGTATAATGTCCTAAGGAAAAGAGATTTATGCAGGCTCATTATCCATCCACTCTACTACTCCACTTTCCCTGGTAATCTTTCAAGCTCTTGACAATTTCAACCAAATCTAGCGGAACAGTGGAAGTCTTAGAGATATGAAAGACTTCTGACCACCAGACTCAACTGAGATTGGATGAAGGCTAACAGATACTTACCACCTTTGCTAGTCTCACATGTGACTAGCCATACTAAAAATAACTCCAAAAGTAGAGTGAGAGCAAAGCACTGATAGCAGTTTCTTATCCCCATTATAGACACAACATCTTTACCCTGACAGGACAAGTTGATCCATAGAAAGTAAAGGTGTCATCTTGGGAAAAAGTCCAAAGAATTATTTTCTAAGCATACAGGAACTCAAACTGTTTAGCTTACATACTTGTGTATTCCACAGTACTTCCAGAATATTATTTCATTAGTCAAACATAAATTCATATAGTTTTACATAATTCTAGATTAGTAATGTCTTAATGTCAGAACAAACTTACTAAATTTTTTTCTAAAACTATGATGACTTCACTAAGGTTATTAGAATTGTAGTCAAAACTGCCTAACTTCAAAAACATCTCACTGAAAGTTTCACCAAAGCATTTTCATGCTAATCTGTAGATACATAAATCCAACAAATTAAACTTTAGAAGATTTTATTGTCTTCTTTCCAATTAACAAATATGAATACATTTTGCTAGGCTGAAACAATCCCTTATTACCTCACAAGAACCAACAAAATGTCTAATACAGGTGGGCTTCTTAAAAGCCCAGCTCATTTTCATATACATGATGGCTGCTGTCAAAACCTGCTGTGTGGTATGAACAGGTATGGATGGTGACCAATAAGTAGAAGAGAGAAAAGATTAATTAACCTCAGCCACACATGGCCACACACACACACACATGCTACCAGACAAGCAGATAAACCTCTGTGTGAGAAGAAACCCAATGTGAATTATCCGTGAGATGAACCATGTGAGGAGTTTAAAAGGGTGGTGGGAACTACCTGAAAATGTCTGAGACTCACCAGTTCCGCTGCCCATAAATGATCTAACAGTCATTTGCTCAGTCTTAACACAAAGTCCCCCAGAACTGTGGAAAACAGGTGGAAAAGAAACCCCAAGCTGAAGGAAACTGAATACTAAAAACCTTATAAAATTTATGAAGTCCTGAACACTCCTGAGGTGGGGAGGCACTGTGGTGAGGACCACAGGCATGATGAAAAACTGACTGGTATCCAAATCATCTCTTTCTTTTTTTTTTTTTGTTTTGTTTTGTTTTGTTTTTTTGTTTGTTTGGTTTTTTTTTCTGCAAAGACTGCATTTCAGACAGATAACAGAAAATCTGTTCTATACATTAAGCAAGTCCAGGATTGGTACTGCATTGCCCCATCACTGGGAACAAGAACTGCACTTAGAGTTCACTAAGGGTTTGCACAGGGGCAACTGGCTTTGTAGCAGTGCAGGATACCACCCTCGGTACAGCTGGGCAAAATCACAGCAAAATCCAACCCAGAGTTTCAGGGAAGGCCCATGCTGGCTTTTGAAATTTGTCACTCTAACATTCATACCTCTAGGAATTATTGATATACAAATACATTGGTGATAATGCACATTAGATTATACGTATTTGGTTTTAAATTTTAGTAATTTTAAACATCCAGTCTAAGAGTTATTAGTTTCAGACTCAAGACTTGATTAAAATTTAAAGTCTTTAACTATGGAGAATTAAGCTATTTAATCCAATTTTCTCTAAAATTTGCCTCTTACTTTTGTAAGTCTCATTAAGGTTCATGCAAATATGCATCACATATAATCAGCCTGAGATATCATGTAGCACACCACAGTATATTAAAGTGTTATTTTTAAAACTGGTTTATGTTACTATATAGTAAACCCAGTAGAGTCTTGGGGACAGAATTAAGCCCACGTATGTGCTGCAAAGGTCTTCCTACATAGCTACATCATTGAAGGCACACATGTGGGGGAGGTAAATCATGAGCTCTAGCGTACATACCATGCTGATAGAATGGTCTGGGGGGGGAGGTACTTATGCCAAACTTATGCCACACTGAGAGGTGGTGTAATTCCCTCCAAGACGTACTGTCTTCCTCCCACAGCAAGTGCCGTGCCTCCACCAGGCAGCTGCTCTGGCGCTGTGACGTTCGTGGCTCTGGGGGACACGGCACCCCAGCACTAATTTGTACATCACAGCTCTGAACTTCGCAGAACATTTGGGTTCTGCTCTTCCCAGGGCTTTGTACCAGCTCCATCCATCATGTATCACAGTGATTTATTTCCTCTTCTACTGTGGCATTGGCAGTATTTTGTCTCTCAAAAGAGATATGACATGTCCCATCAGCATAAAGGAATTGCATATTAAAAATCTCTACTATTTAGGAATGTCTGTTTATCTGATGTCAAGGTATATATTCAACTTGTGAAAGTTCTGATTATCTACTAGGATATACTATGGCTACTACATTCCAGAGAAACATAAATCTTCTTTGTGGTAAATGCTCTTATGATAAAGGGTATGAATTTTTTTTTTCCTGAATGCAAAAATTCACATGAACCTGCTTTGTAAAACAAAGTCTAGGCAAAAAAAACAAACAACCCACCTCTTAGGAATAGATGAAGAGAAATAATTTTTTACCACAGACCATTGTGGACCATTAAGGATGTGCCAAACTGTTGCTGGCATATCTAGGTTAATGGCCATCACAAACCATCCGTTGCTATGAAACTGTTTAAAATTCATTGTGTCTATTGAATGTAAGGAAATGTACCTGTAAAACCACTTTGAACATGTGCCTGATCTCCATTAGAGAACATGAATGCCCAGAATAGAGGTGCTGGTTTTAAAAATATTTCACAAAAATTTGTGAAGATGATCACTTCTTGTAACTCTCTATTTTCTTTTGAGATTCTCAATTAAAAATTTGACTCTTTATTAAACTTATTTTCATTTTAATGTGTTTTTCATATGAACACATGTTCTTAAGAGTTAGAGCCATGAGGAATTTAAGCACATCAACAAGTTGCTGAATGGTGCAGCGATTCCCAGTGGGCTGGGCCACTGCTTATCCTTTTTTTTTATGGACAGCCCTGAACTTTTGTCTTGTTACCACTCAGTGTTTTAACATGTCCAGGAATTTGCTGTGGGTCACTGCTTGAAAAATACCAGTGGCAAGGTCCTATCAAGCTTGCTTTAAGCAATTGACTTCACCTAGAAGTGGTTTTGAGAAGGCAGAGAATCTTGCCTGTAACTTCTACAGGCTCTGCCTCTTACTGAGGCCAGTTTCCTTCCAATAGTTTACCAATTTTATTTAAAACTAACTTCAGATAACTCTACCCTGTGCTGAAATC